CAAGTGGCTTTTTTGTTGCCTTTGTTAAGCAGCACAGTGCCGGGGACTGGGCCAGGGACTTTGGGCTTAGCAGGTCCAGATCTCAAACCTCCCACCACTGTCAGCTTGGATACAAAAAGCTTGAAGTTTCATTGTTAGCAGTTGACCAAGAGAGATGCAGATGATGAATGAGCATCTTTTGCTCCAGCTGGGGAGAGGGGCTGCTTGGGAGCAGGCCCTGTGCCTTTTAAGAAGGCTCCTGTTCTTCCTGCTGACCTTGGGCAGCCAACACATCCCTTTATTCAGGCCAAAATATTTGAAATTTGGGGTGGGGAGTCTGCAGTAGGAATACATTCCACAAGTTGGTTATTATGGTGTAATCAGCAGCATCTCACCTTCCCATGCTGGAAGGAGAGAGCTTCCACACAGTCTTGCTCTACCTGACAAGGAGGTAGCCCAGAACCATTCTCAGCAGTGGGGTGGGTGGCAGGACTGTGACCTGCAAGGAGACCCCGTAACTCAAGATGTGACACAGACTCAGAATAGGCATTCACATTCTCTCTTGTGGATGCCATTCCTACTAGAGGAGGCTGCCTGCTTACTCTCCACTCAGAAGGAGCATTTCCATGGCCACATTATCCCTATCACTTGCATGAGCCTTGAAGTCCCATAAAGAATTGTGCTAATTTTTGGTGGTCTCTCAAGTGCCTCAGTGGCCTTTAGGGGATGCTCCCTCTCAAGATGTCTGCTGGCTGCCCCCTGGGGGGCCTTGGTGTGTTCTGGCAGCTTCTCAGCCAGTGCTTGTCTTAGTCTGGAGATGAGCTTCGGGATGAGAAATGGCTCTTACAGCCCCTGAGGCAGGATGTTCCGTGGGTTGAATTCTTCCTGTCTAAGAGAGCATCATCATGGCAAGTGACCCTGTTCCTATTTGCTTTTCAAAATATAGCCTGCTGTGTATAAAGAGACTCTTTGTCCTATGGAAGAGCTGAAATCTGCATGGCTGGTCCCCTCTGCCAAAGGCTGTGTATAGATGTAGCTGAAAGCCTTGGAAGACGTTCTGCTTTACCACCACTTGGCTTGCCTTCATGACGTCTATCTCTAGGAGACTTGCCCTCATCCTGATTTGCCTCTCTTGCTTTTTCTCAGACATCTGTGGACTCCGCAGTGGCCATCAACGACCTCTCTGTTATGGTGGACCTCCTGAACATCGTCAACCAGAAGGCGTGAGTTCCAGTTTGCTTTCCTGCCTCAAGGGAATGCTTTCTGCCATGTGGCTCAGGATCCTCTTCCCTTCTTGGGTAACCTACAAGTGCCTCTTGAGTGGAGGTTGTGGCCAACAGTTACCCACAGGATCCCAGGCCTTATTTCTTGGCAGCCTCCATGTCCTGCCCCATGAAAACTTGTGTGGGACTTGGTGGTGCCACCTGGTGCTTACACCTGCTAGCCCTGTGCTGAGCTTGGAGCCATGGCATAACTCAGATCCCTCATGAAGACTCCCTGGGCTGAGAGTCACCCGCTGTCTCATCCTTTGGCTCCTTTCTGCCTTGGGGTGAGCAAATGAAGCTTCTTTGTCCTGAATGAGGTCCATCTAGCCGGAGACCAGCAGCTGCTCTCTGGCTAAGGTCTCTGGAGTGTTCTGCAGGTCAGAGGGGTTTGCTGTTGCAGGGCAGGGGTTGGGGTATCTCTCTGGAGCCTGTATTCTCTTTTCAGGTCTCTCTGGAAGCTGGATCTGTGCACAGTCATCTTGCCTCAGATAGAGAAACTTCTGCAAAGCAAATATGAAAGGTGAGTCTTCTGACAAATGTACGTCCTTGAGTAAGAAGAGTGCCTGATCAGTCAAGTGCTTTATTGGCTAGCTGTGGCCAGCAGCTTTTGAGAGTTTTGTCAACTTGCATTTGATGATGGTCCTGATGAAGTGCTGCACACCTGTGTGTGTTCATGTCTTGTGCATTTTTCCTATTCTTGGAGGGAGTGGGGTTGTGACTTGCCCAAGCAGAGAGCAGGCCTGGAGGTGGGCCAGCAGGGAAGCAGGCCTGCCAGCTTTGGGCTTATCACAACTTCAATTTGCAGGTGCTGAACAGAAGGGGACCATTGCCCACTTTGCTGTCGCCATGGTCCCAGTGCACTTCTATATTGGGCAGAGTTCCCCCTCTGCCCAAATTTGGTGTCATGTTTGAAGCTTTAAATCATGAGGGGATGTCATCAGCAGAAATAAGCACTGAGAAGGGCCCATCCTAAAGCAGGCTGCCCCACCATCCAACAAGAGAAGTTTGCAGTTCAAGCAGGAGTTTCCTAAGAATGTTGGATGTTGAGTTTTTCCCTCTTTTGCTTTACTAACCACCAAGCTGTGGTTTTCAGGGAGTGATTCCTCTGCCCCAATATTAAAACCACTTCAAAACCTTAGTAGTTGCAGCATCTATGTGTACATCACTTTGTGTTGACGCTTATATACAATTGTGTCACCCCCTCCAGGGGTGCGTGTACACACACAAATTCTGCTCTGGTGGGGTTTTTTTTGGAAGTGCTTCAGAAATCCCTGCAGCAGTGTGGTTGCATTTTGAAGAAGGAACTGGGTGAGAAGCAGTTCATGTGAATACCAATTGCTTTTAAAAGCAGCTTGCTGGGCAGATGCAGGGTGCCCAGCAGAAAAGCCTTCCTACATCCAGATTTACAAGAAAAGAAACTGGAAGGACAACTGATTTTGCTGTGGCTCTGCCCTTCCTCCTTCACCTGCTTCTCCACTTGCATTTTAGGTTTAGTTGTGAAAACGTTTGTCCTATTCTGATTCTCCTTGTTCTCTTGTCAGTTACGTCCAGACAGGCTGCACTTCTCTGAAGTTGATCCTGCAGAGGTTTCTGCCCCTGATCACAGACATCCTTGCTGCGCCGCCATCCGTGGGGGTGGACATTAGCAGAGAAGAGAGGTAGGGTGGCATCCCTGTTGCTTCCGTTCCTATGTTGCAAATCCTATCAGAACCTTCCCCCGTACCAATTTAGCCTCCTTGCACACCTGAATCCCACAGCTAGCTCGGTCACACTTGCCCCACAGAATCTTGAACAGTTCCAGTTTGTGGCTTTTAGGCTGGAAATATCTGGGCTCCCTCCCACACAACTGCCTCTATCTACTGGGGGGGTGCAGAAGGGGGAAATCTCATTTGGCTTCTGCCAGTAAAGCCTGTATGCCTTGCTGCTGTGTGTCCCTGCACTGGCTAGCAATCAGCAGGTATGCACTGAAACCTTTTTAGTTGTGGTGTGGGCTTTATATTCCCATTGGGCCAAACTGATCACATGCCTTCTCTGTTTTCCAAGAACGTTTTTGTTTGTTTATCTACCATGCTCTTTACTTTTGTTTAGCTGCTGCTGCTTCAAGAGCATGTTCTGAATTTAACAGTTCGGTATTTTTCTTGTTGCGAAATGCAGAAGAGCAGGGCATCTAAATAATATTAATAAAATATTGGTGGATGTTGATCAGTCATGGTAGCCCCTCCGTTCCTTCATCCCAGTCTCTCTTTCCCATTGACAGGCTTCACAAATGCCGCCTGTGCTACAAGCAGCTGAAAAACATCAGCAACATCATCAAGAACAAATCTGGACTCAGTGGCCGCCATGGCAGTGCCTTCCGTGAGCTGCACCTCCTGATGGCTGTCCTTGAGTGATGGGGTGGTGCCCTTCATCCAGCCACACATACCGCCTGAGGCTCGTCTTCCCTCCATGGCCTCTCACTCCAGCCACTTCGGGTAGTTTTGTTTGGTGTCCATCTCTCCACAGTTCTCCAGGAGGTAAGGGAGGGGGGCTGATGGGTTGGGTGCTCCATGTTCAGTGCCTTACAGGCTACATTGCAAACCGGACTGTCCTGCTGTGGCACAGCCCCCCTGCCTTTCTGTGTACATAGCTGCCTTGGGCAGGGGGCAGCAAATGGGAATGCTGTGTTAGAATCCAACCATGGACAGCATCTCTAGACCCTGGCAACAATCAGTGCTTGGGACCAACTCCCTAGTGATGAGCCCGGCCCTACTTCATTTCCATCCTCCCTGTGGTGGGACTTGAGGCAGGAGTGGGTGGGACTGGACCACCTGCCTGTGCAGCTTAGTCTCTTGGGCTGGAGGAGCTGAGCCCCACACTGCTGCCCCCTCTTGTTTTGTTCCATGGTGGAAAGGCTCGATGCTGAGGAATGGCCTGCTCTTTCCCCTTCATCTCTCGTTAATACGCTGCAGTCTGCTGTTCATAAACTGATAAGTTATGATGAATTTCATTAAAACGTTTGTAACTTTATTTTGAAAAACAGTAGTTTTGTGTCTTTCCCCTTCCGTAGCTCATAATTTTGTTTAGGTTACAGATTCGTATTCTAACTCTCACAAAAGGAAAGTCTTACAATGCTTTACTTTATATATTATGCCATTTTCTTCTTTAAAATTAAAGTGACCCTTGGCCCCCAAAGTGACCTAGGAAAAAGCAGAGAGGAAGCGGGTAGCTCCAGCTCTGTTTACCCCAGCAGCCCAGAGACATACCCAGAGGTTTTTCTCCTGGTTTGTGGAGTCAAGTACGGAGGGGGTGGATGCCCTCTGGTGTTGGATGTCCACTAATGACAAAGTTAAGTCCAATTTGTAGACTAAATCCACCCCAGAGGCAAATTTTATCCACTTGTGTCAAAAGGAAAATGTTATAGCTGTTTATGAAAGCAGATGGAAGGAAACAGCTTTGTTAAAAACGATTTGAATCTGAATTAAGTTGCATCATTTTAGTCTGATCTCCCTACATGCTACTTCCTTTGTGTGTTTTGTCTTTTTAATTTTATACGCCTGATGGCATGTCTGCGTTTCATTTAATTCTATAAAGTGCTCAGCACTAGCACTGTATTGAATTGTTGAGTGGTGTGAGCTTACGTTTGGAGAAAGTTTATTATTTGAAAGTGAGAAAACTAGGGATACTCAAGGAATGTGATGTATATATTCCAGAGTGAATTCACTTGGTACACATCATGGGTGGGATCCTTGGAGACCCAAGGTGTTGGTTTCCCCCCCCCCCTTTTTTTAATAAAATGGCAGACCATAGATCACCTCATAACAATTAAATTTGCAGAGAAATGCATACTTGAGACTTCTAAAAAAAGACACATAGAAAAATGAGAGAAAACAGAAGGAACATAGACAAAAGTGACATGGACTGAAAATAAACAGATATATCCTTAAATACAATAATAAAAACAAATAGGAGCAAATAAGTAATTCTGTATGTTACAGGGACAATGATCCCTTCCGCGGAGCTCATTAGAGGATTTCTAATCACCTGGAGTATGGGGGAGGAAAGATGAAATTCAGAGAAAATGCCTTTAGTCCCAGCTATGCTTATAGCTGCTCTGGCCTAGCCAACTACTCATTGTGTGAAGTGAGTACTAGTGTTGCAGGTTAAGCTCTGCCCTAGTCCAGCTGAATTTTGCTTCCAATATTGCTTTTCCGTTACAAGAAGACCGCTGAGTTGTTCGTTTTATAAAAAGCAGAAACACATGGTGCTTGGAAGCCACATCTTGGTGCAAAGAGTTTATTAAATTAAAAAATCAATGCAGAGGGCCAAAAGGATGGGAATGGGTCTAGGACCTCCATTCTCCCTTTAAAAATATAGTAAAATTCACCTCATATCAAATAGGCAGATGAACCATCTCCTGAAGTCCAGTTGCATCCAAGCCCAAGTCCATCCATTGCCAGCAACGGATGAGGTACAAGAGGGGGCTGGCATGTCACCTTCTCTCAGGATGGGAGTGTGTCTGATGGAGAGACCCTTCACAATTCAAGGGCTGGCAGATGGCACCACCCTTCTTTTTGCTGTGGCTTCCCTTTCTTTGTGTCTCCCAAATCAGTGTCCATTAGCCTCTGAAGTGGGCAGGAAGATGAGTAGTCTCTTTAAAAAGTATTCATGGTTTCTGAAACTCCTTTTAAAAAAGCATGTTCCTCAAATCAGCTGCTTCACACAGGGATTGGCCTCAGTTTCCCTAAAAAACAAACACCACAAGGGAAAAGATTAGGGCATTTTGCTTTCTACTCCTACACTGCATCCACAGTGAGTGCCAACCACCTCTTTGCTACATGCATAACAGGTCACCCATGAGTGGCAGCTGGCCAGGCTCCAGCCAAAACCTCTGTGCAGAATGTCATGCTAATAAAGTTTAAAAAATCCAAAACTTAAAGAATTTACAAATTGTGTTCTATAATCTAATGGCAAATGATCCTCCAAGTTATGATTACTGCGTTAGTGATTCTTGCACAGGAAGAGTTTCAGAATATGGAGCACTTTCTTAAAGCAACAGAAAGGAGAAGCTGGTCAGGGGTAGGGCACCTCTGGCAACAGATTTGGAGATCTGATTTGAGATCTGAAGCAGAAAAGGAATCTATGAAGGAGCAGGCAGTAATGCAGGCACTTTAAGTACAGTATACAATTAGATCAAAGAAGAGTTATCATACAGTGCCCAGAGGCTCCATCTCTATAATGCTGGAGGTTTTGTAATGTACCTCCATGGTTACAAGCAATCAAAACATGCTTTAAAAAGTAAAATAAAGGTGGAAACTTAAGTTCTCAAGGTTCAGTGCCACTTCCCAGATTCTACAGATGTGAAAATGCCATTAACTACAAGCCCTGACCCCCAAGAAAGCAGGAGAGGTTGTGCCCATTCCCTGCCGCCCTGGCCAAAGCAGAGCCCTTCACCTTGCTAAGCAGCTTAGTCACCAGCACCCAGCACCTGTCCACACTCACCTGGAGGCAGACAGAGCTTCTCTTAATTCCAGGCTGAAATCAAATGGGACAACAGGTTTGTTTTGCATCCCCACACTTATAAATTATGAGGAAAAGAAGCCGGCCGTGTACTGCATTAATGAACTATTAGCTGCTTGGTGCTGGGTGACACCATCATGTCTTGATGAGTTTACTCACAGCATCTGGCTGTCCACCATGGCTGCTGGAACCTTTGATTTGATCCAACAAGAGCAATTCTAATCCTTGAACTTCCTAGAAAAGTTTGTGAACATGGAGTGTGCCTGGCCAAAGATGGGTTTGAGGCTGGAGGCAAAAGGACTCTCTCTGTTCTAATTGTAAATGAGGATAGCTGATCTCAAAGCAAAGGTGAATGGAGATAAATGTTGTCTAGAGGGCTCCCTACACTCTGGGCTTCTCCTGGAATACACTTGACGTTCTATGCACCCATCCCTCCCCTGCCATTGTGACCTGATTTGCCCCAGGAAGAGCAGAAAGCTCATGAACATGAGCAGCCATAAGATTTTCTAAGCACCCAGCATCCATCCTGGTCCAAATCAATCCCACACTCTACTGCCACCCCTACCTCCAGTATATACAGAATGGAGGGGTGGCTGGAATAGGAAGGTTGCCTGATCTGCTTCCTTGAGGGACATCTCAAGGCCTATTTGTGTGTCTGACATCATATGGTAGATGAGACGTCAGCCTCCTGTTTACTGCACCCTTCAGATACCTCTATCATGCTTCTCCTTCCTTCCTCCTACCCCTGGATGATTACACAGCAGCAGTGAGGAGAGGGCTTGCCCTGCTGCAGGCCTCATCTTCAAAATAGTTTTGAAATAGTTAGCCAAATGCACATGCACACACACTCTGAGCGACCAGAGGCACCAGTTGTGGAATTCAGCTGACCTCTACATGAAAACCCAGAGAGCATCACTGTGGCTCAGAATCTCTGGGAGAGTCAGAGTGCCCTGAGGAGCAAAAGGAAGAGCCGGCTTCTGTGCAAGTCTTACCTGACGTCTGGAGTCTTGCCCGGAGTGAACTCGCTCTCCGAGTCCGAGGAGAAGACTGACTTCGGATGCAGGGCTGTGCTGTGACTGATGATGAGTCTGCCTAGAAGAGCCGCCACAGGAGTTTGCAACATTTTATCTTAACTTTGTGGAGGTTTGGGGTTTTATTTTTACATGAGAATGATTTTAGCAGTACGTACAACAAATATCACATTTCCAAAATAGAAGCTGTAAAACACCAAAATTGGAATTTGCATAGTAGTAACATACACAATGGGGACGCAGGTGGCGCTGTGGGTTAAAGCCTCAGCACCTAGGACTTGCCGATCGAAAGGTCGGCGGTTCGAATCCCTGCGGCGGGGTGCGCTCCTGTCGTTCGGTCCCAGCGCCTGCCAACCTAGCAGTTCGAAAGCACCTCCGGGTGCAAGTAGATAAATAGGGACCGCTTACTAGCGGGAAGGTAAACGGTGTTTCCGTGTGCGGCTCTGGCTCGCCAGAGCAGCGATGTCACGCTGGCCACGTGACCCGGAAGTGTCTCCGGACAGCACTGGCTCCCGGCCTATAGAGTGAGATGAGCGCACAACCCTAGAGTCTGGCAAGACTGGCCCGTACGGGCAGGGGTACCTTTACCTTTACTAACATACACAATAACTGATTTGGTGTTAAGCCAATATAACCAGGGCCCACCCAAGACATTTTGGCACCTGAGACCCCAAATGGCGCCAGGGAAGAAGGGGTAAGGGGAGATCTACATCAGGAACAAGGGGGTAAGGAAGATCATCATTGGGGTTTGTCCCTGTGGATCCTACTGCCTGATGCGGTTGTCTCACCTTGTCTCATGGGTGGGCCGGCCCTCAATATAACATACAAAGTCATAAGAGAATACAACAAACTTATCGAACTAAAAGTATCATATACTACATCATGATACATTTGTTTTGGCTGATTTCCCCTCAGATCTATTTCTTGTTTACCTAAGAAATATGAAATCTGAAGTGGAAACGGTCTTGTAGCTTATTCTTTACACTAGATCACCCAACCACCACCTGCCTAGTGTCCAGATTATACCAAAAGCACTTCCCTGTAGGCAAAGTATGAAGCAAGAATAAGCCCAAAAAATACACTCCTGCATAAGAAAGCAGGATGAAACCAATGAGGACCAGTTACCTCTAAGTGCTCCTGACTGGTCCAGGAGCCCAATTCTGTCCTCCGAGAGCCACAGCCCAGTTCAACAGAGCGAACCCTCTCAGCAAACTTAAGGGAACAGAGTGTCTCACTTGTATTTTTCTCCACAGGAGAGACCTGACCAGGGAGGGAAAAGGGAACAGTCATGATTATCCACATCTGAAGCTGAAAGAACTGAGGGAGAAGTGGTGAGCTCCTGCTGATGCCTCCCACTTATAGATCTATGCTGTTTGTCTCCTTTCCCCAAAGGTGCATGAGATGGAAAGCAGGGAGAGAAACAGAGGGAGTCTTGCTGCCCTTTGCAACTTTGGGTTACGCTGGGTTTTTCTTTTTTTCTTAGGCGGGGGTGGGGGTGGGGGTGCTCCAGGGCTGAGATTACACAGCCAAGCACATAAAACATTTTTTAAATATCCAAACAGTGCAGGCAGGGGACTTACACCAGTTGTTGCATGCACAACTGCACATGGCAGTCAAAACAGGAGCGGCTTTTTGCTAAAGTGTTATTCTGGACAATACAGAATACAATAGAATACACTGTGTGTAGATTGCTAACAATTTTATTTGGGGTGGGGGCTGGAAATAGTTATTTGTTCTATTGTTACTTGATGTATTGCATTTGTCAATCTTTTGCAATAACTGTTACTAACTTTAAAATAACAAGCATCTGGACTGCTGAATACGTTTTTATTATTCTGTATCCAGATATTATTGAAAATAAATAAAAATATAGCAAAAGAAAACACCCAGGAATGGCATAGCTCTCAAGGAGAAGTAGGCGCATCACACTGCGCCAAATACACTGAATATGCAAATCATTACTTGAAAGCCCGCCCCCCCCATTATAGCTCTTATGGAAGCACCCACCTGGACCATCATGAGGGTCTTGCTGTCACCACTGAGAGAGTCTTGAAGCAGGTAGGTCAGCTTGGAGTTGCGGAATGGCACATGGCCCTGGCGGGAACGCAGAGCATAGATCACATCTCCCAAAGCTGAGAGCGATTTGTTGATATACTGGGCCTCACGCAGCCTGCTCCCCTCTGCACCAGACCTCCCCACACGCTCAGATCCTGCCAGATCAACCAAATTCAGCTTCCCTAGGAGGAAAGAAGTCAGGCACACTTGAACTACAATCCTGAGCATACTTACTTGCTAATAAATATGTTTAGGACTGAGCTATTAGTATTCAACAAGACTTTGGGTCTCGGCAAACAACAGCCAGAGCCATCGATGACCAAGCACCCTTCTAAGTTCACCAAGAAACCAAAGAGCTTGGCTGTATGTAGAAACTGGTGATCGAGAACCCAAGGGTTCAGCTACTGGTTTGTCCACAACGGTGGCAAACACAATGCAAAGGATCAATCCCTGGCTACCAGCCAAAGTGATGCCCAATAATGTTTTTTACAATTTATTCTTCTCAATTAAACCTGGTGGCTCACTGCATGGACCTCTCCTGGACCTTGTCTCAAGTATCAACTAAGTATCAGCTGGCCTGAGCTACATTGTCATTTGGCTATCATCTACAAAATTCATTGACATTCCTCAATGATCTGTTTCCTATGTGATTCACTTACAACCTGGGTTAGGAGACCATGTTTCCTTCATGGTTGACAACAACTAGGAGTAAATTTCTACCAACCTGTTGTTCGTATTCCTGTGCTGTAATCAATTCCCCTCACTGTGATAATCAGGAGGGCATGAGATCGGGAGCTGTGCTCGTTCAAGTAGGTGCTTTCAGTCACTCGGTTGATATGACCAAATTCAAAGACCTAGAATAAGTGCAGAGAGAGAGATGGTCAAGCCACACCTGTCTTCAGCAGCCAGTTCTCACATAGGCCTCCCTCTCTGACCATCATCCCAGGCACTTGGCGCCCATTCAGAGGGCAGCAGGATGCCTGAGGAGCAGAGAGTGTCTTTGCAGAACTTCCCTGGCACCACATGGTCAGTGGAAGTCCTTAAGATTTGTTACACATGAAAACAGCTGAAAACTCAATGCCCAAGAAACAGGGGAAAAGATGCAGGCTGCACAGTAAACTCAGCTTCACAGTGCGACGTACACAATTCTGCCCACATCACATTTTTATATAATCCTATCCTATAAATCAAAGCAGTTACTTGTGTCATAAAATACTCATTAAAATTCTTCATTTATTCTTCCTGTAAATCTCATTTACAGAAGTGAGCCTTTCTGAACTTCCCTCGCCTGAACCTAGATGGGGTGGTGGTTGACTTGCTATTCAAAGTGAAGCCTCCTTGCCCGTTTTCTAACCTGGTTGATGTCTTCTACACAGTGCACAGGGAACTCTGTCAGGCCTGGCACATAGAGCTGTCCACTACCATCCGGGCACAGTTTGATGTCCAACTTCTCCTGGGGCTCCTTTCCAAGCAGGTCTCTGAAAGAGAGAGGCAAGCAAGATCTTTGTAATGCTATGTGCTCCAAAAGGACACTTTTCCAGCACAGAAAGATGGGTTAGGGATGCAGTAGGTGAGAGACAGTTGCCAAAGAAACAGTAACAAATAGACACCCAATATTTGTTTGCTAAAAGAAAAACCCCACATTGGTTCTCTTGCAGCAGGATCAGGTCCCTTGCCTAAAGAGCTGTTTCTTCCTTCCCAAGTTACAAATTGCAGGAGGACAGTGTTCTTCAACCTGAGAGTGTCCAATACCAACACCATTCCAAGTGCTTTGAACAGAGGCAGAGAACGGCTAATGGAGGGAAGGAGGGAAGAACCATGGAACAAGTATTCCTCAGTCAAAGGAAATTTTTTAGCTGAACAAATTCCTACAAGTCACAATGAACTGCCTTGGCTAAGAGTGCAGCTAACCAAGAGGAACTAAATTCTGAAAATAGGTGAACAGAGTTGCCACTGCAAGAGCTAATTCTGTCTCGGGGCTCAGTTCTGAAACTTGCTTCAACACCAGAGCTAGTTTCCAGAGCATCTGAATAGGGATATTAAAACTGCCTATCGACACATCCATCAACACCACTGGAGCCAGAAGGTTGGACTTTCATGAAGTATTCCCTTGTTATATGGGGTGGGGTCACTTTTCCTGCAGAAAGCACAAGCTGTTCCACCACCGCCACTGAAATTGTTTTCTGGGACATTTCAAACCTAGGGTTTTGAATCTAGGGACTGAGAGGTCTTTGGCATCCTGCGGTTACCTGAGGGCTTCATTGTAGATCTCAGCCACACTGACAGTGATCTGGTAGTTCCAGTCGGAGGCTTTTGCCTGCACTTCTGAGAAGAGAAGCTGCAGTGCCCGCTGGTTGATTCCTGGGTTTTCGGGAGTTCCCTGGTGAGGAAAATGGAAGGGACATCATGTTCCTTCAATGAATTAACATTACATAAGAAGAAAGGAACACCAGAAAGAGAGAGAGTGTGTGTGTGTGCACACGCACACACACACTCATGCCACACAGTCCAGCACATCATCACTGACTCACTCTGCAGTGCAGTCATCAATTTCCCTTCCCTCTATCCATCTCCCTGCCATCCCCAGCAGTGGGGGACACACAGTTTTTCTGTAAAAATGCAAAAACAATAAAACCTTATAAAGGCTAAAAGGTAGTATTTTGAACTCTATACCACAAATCCCCCTCAGCATACATGGAAACACTATACAACACAGTCTGCCCCAAACAGCAGCCAAAAAGCCTAAATAGCAAGTGGTGTTTTCAAAATAACCAAAGGAAATTGGACCACTCCTACCCCTTGAGGCACAGCAGGTGGGAGCAAAGGATTAACCGTGCTCTTCCAGTGAAGGAGGAATCAAGACTGGTGAAAAGGTTCCCTCCTTTTCCAGTTGACCACAGGTAACCAGATTTATTTACTCCTAGTTTTGACACTACCTTCCAAAAGAAGAGGTAACCCTTTCCTGTATACTCCACCCCTGTAATGAGTAAGAGCAGGAAGGAGTGTTTTCTTTTGTAACCTAAAACTGCACAACAGTGCAGCCAGAAAAACCTTTGGAAGAGCATTGAGCAGCTGCAGGGCCACATTTTAGGGACTTGCCAAATGAATATCCTATGGGGCAAGGCTTCCTGGGGTGGTGTGACTAACTGGGGACATTCGTAAGGGAAAAGGTGCTCCCCAAGATATGTGGGCCCAAGGATACCTTTAAAAGGTGAGAGCCACCACCTTGAACTGAACTTGGAAACACACTCGCAGACATGTAATATGGGCTTTAAATTCAGTCCCCACCCCCCAAATAGGTAGGCATTTAGCACTAGCTAAACAACCCCACAACAGGGTATGGAAACTGCAGAATCAGCAAATCATTTAAAAAGGAACTGAAAAGCAGCTCACCTCCATTGTGTATGTCTTGCCGGCACCTGTCTGGCCATAGGCAAAAATGCAAACATTGTAACCATCAATGCAGGATGTGATCAGGGCTTGAACTTCCCGGAAGACCTTTAAAAAACAAAGTTTGCGTAAGGCATTGGCAGAGTACTTTGCTCCGCTGCCATCAGGCTCATACATATCCATGAGACTACTAAGTCCAAACTAAATGAATCACAACCTCTTTACATATAGAGTAAAGGAGGAGGATGAGATACTGCAGCAACAGCAACATGTCTAATTTGCCTGCTGGTAAACACATTCCTACCTAGTTAAGTAACTCAACAAATGAGACGTTTCCCTTCAAGCTGTGTTCCTCCTTCTCTCACCCAGCAGACATTCTTGCTAACTTAACAGGAGAACACCGTGACTATACTTACATCTTCCTGTGTTGCTTCAGGAGGGAAAACCTTGTCAAGTTCAAATGATACCAGCTTCCCTCTATGCATCAGATGCAAGATGGCATCATCATCAGGGTCAAATGTCACGGCACTGGCAGCTTCTGGCCCATCGCCATCCTCTTTACATACTGGCCGAACACGACCAAACACACGGATATTGCCTTAAAGGGAAATTATAGCTTTATAAATCTGAGAACAGCTGGCTTCTAGGCTCCTAGGCCACCCCACAGAGAATCACAGTGGCTGATGGTTATCTCAACCACTAGGCTATATTCCAAAAGAACCATCTTTCCTAATGGCATTTAGGGACAGGCCAAGGTTTAGAACCTTGTTTTTGGTGAAGCAGAATGTGTGCAAATTCACACTTTGTCTGCCAGACAGCCATCAGCAAAACCACCTGAGCCACAATGAACATCCCTTGCATAAGAGATAGGAAGATGTTTCCACCGCAAAGGCTCCCCCAACTCTCAAGCTGGGAACCCCAGAAAACACCACCTCAACTTCCTATCAGATAGCCTCAGCCGTCAAGTGGCATCTATGCCATGCCCTCAAGGAACCCATACATAGGGACTCACAGACCTTTCAACCGCACAAGTTCATTGTGACATTTCTTCCGGAGCTGCAGTTCTCTGCGGTATTTCCTCAGGAGCTCCTGATTTGTACTGCTGACCTCTTCAATGGCTTGGCCAATCTTTGAAGAGAGGACAAAAGAGTTAGGGGGAATATGTCACACTCTGCGAGGTGGAGAATCTTACTCCTCCTCATCTCATCCAGATCTTCCCATCTCAACTGAGCCACTCATAATTAAAAGGGAACTTTTCAACCAACAGGGAAGGTGCAGCACCACACCATTTAGAGGGCGGGAATCAGCCCTGAGATTTGGAAGTAGGACAATCTTGCTGCTGGACTGACCTCAGCCTTGGCACTCTGTAGGGCTTCTTGGAGAAGAACAGGAAATTCTTTAACCTGCCGCTTCAGGCTATTGTAATCATTTGTAAGGGTTCGAAGAGCTGGCTGGAGAGTCAGGAGATTTGTCCTCACTCCTACGGAGATGAATAAATGTACATTTAAGGCAGTGCTACAGACTCATACATTTTCCCATTTTCATTTGCAAAAAGCATTTCTCCTCCTTAAACAAAACCACCATAAGGCAGATGCTGGTTCAAATGATCTCTGAACTGAAAGGCAGCTGCTTCTTCAAAAGCCACAGCAGGCCCTTGAGAGAAATGTTTGGCCAGCTTGAAGATACTCACCTGCCAGGTTCTCGTGGACAGCTTTCATTTCTACCTGGGCTCGAGCAAATGCTTCTTCAATGGCTCGATTCTTGTCCTCCTCCATGTTCTGCATCTCCTCCAGCATCTGCTCGTGGGCCCGCTCCAACTCAGACTCATACAACGTAACCTAGGAAACACAGCAAAGGAACCTGTCAGGGTGAAGAGGCCAGGCTACCACTTTCCCTCTCCTCTAGGGCGGGCAAATCTCTCCAATCAGTTCCTCTCTGTTTCTTATTTTTCCAATCTTATGTTCAGTTACCCACATTTCTACATGGGTTTGCAGTTTTTTTAAAATAATACAGTGGTACCTAGGGTTAAGACCTCATTCTGGAGATCTGTTCTTAACCTGAAACACCACTTTAGCTAATGGGGCCTCCTGCTGCCACTGCACGATTTCTGTTCTCATCCTGAAGCAAAGTTCTTAACCTGAAGCACTATTTCTGGGTTAGCGGAGTCTGTAACCTGAAGCATATGTAACCCGAGGTACCACTGTAATAATCTTATGAACATTCACCAGCATTTTAACCTGAATTTCTTCTTATGACACACATTTTTGTGTGCAATTTCCCCTAATAAAATTATATTTGTCTGTTATTTTCACAGATATATGCATTTGTATGCAAACATTATCCTAGTATATGAATTTTTGTACACATTACTTGGCTAGAGAACCATACTAAAAATCTGAGAATTGTGAATTTCAAAGGACAACTGTTTCAGTTCATGTATGGCTCCAGAAAGCATGAATGAATGAAAGCATGTTTGCCTTTAAATGCAAACTTAATGGAATTTCTCCCCCATCCCTCCTCTAACATCCATCAAAAGAATGCCTTCTGCTGCCGATAGGAAGGCATTAGGACCCAGGGACAGGTTGCACATCAGTGAGGCTTGAGAGAGAGAACTGGAAAGAGGGCCCTGGAGCAGCAGGTAGAGAGCCCAGAGAGGAGGAAGAGGATACTGCTGCAAGAAGTACAGCAAGAGGAGGACCTAGAAGCTAAAGAATGCCTAAGTCTCTTGCAAGGGACCAAAAGCAGAGAAGCAAGCACCAACAAATGAAGAAGCATCCTTAGTGCTTCCTGTTCTTTCCACCTGCATCATTTTGAACAAGTTGCCTGTGCTCTGTTTCTCTCTTTTTCCACACTCAGAAAGTGCTCACCTGAGCTCTGAGCTGCACTGCTGCCTTCTGAGAGTTCTGCAGCTGCTGTTCCATCTCTTTCAGCACCTGTCTCTGCATCCCAACTTGGTCTTGCAAGTACTGGTTCCGGGACTGGGCTTCACAGAGGGCCTGCTTGGTCTTTGAGGACTCGACTTCCACGGTCTTGATTACATACTGGGGGAGGAAAAGCAAGAAACACAGCTACAGAAGTGAGAGATGGCCACAGTTCATGACCTTTAGGGTCCTTTCCCACCCTACAACTCTACTTGAGGGCAGCTTATGAAAATAAGAGATACTCTGGATCTCTGACTGAAGCTCTTCTGGGGACTGATGACTCTTTAAGCAATTTCACTTTGAGGAAACTCATGGACTAAAGCCTTCACAGCAAGCTATTGTGCCTCACCTTAATCTGCTGAGGCTGGGCTTTGAGGCTGGCTATTGTCTCCTGGCTATCCCTCAGTCTGCGGCTGAGCCTTTCCTCCTCCTCTGCCTTCTCTGCTAGGGAGTCTTTCAGCCGGAGCTCCACCTCAGCCAGGCGATTGGTTTTCTGCTCCACTTCTAGGTCCAGCTCCGACAGGCGCCCTTTCACCTCTTCTGCTTCTTGCTTTAGTTGGGCCAGCTTTTCCTGCAACTTCACATTCTCCTGAGTAGTAAACAGGGAGGAATGAATATAGCATATGATGAACATGACTTCAGCTGAGCAGCCTGCAGCCCCACCCCAGCAGAAAGAAGAGGCAACTCTTTTTACCTGGCTGTGCTCGCAGTTCACGCATTTCACAGGATGCTTCTTCTTGAGCTCCTGCAGTTGTGCCTCACACATCTTCATCTCTTGTTTCAGACGCACATTTTCTGCAACCAAAAGGTCCCGGTGCTTCTCCAGATCTGTGCCACCCTAAAAAAAGGGCATGGGAGGCAGGCAGGGTGTTAGAGGAACCTATGCATTATGAGCAGTTTTACTACTTTAACTACCAAGTCACCTACTGGACCTGAGGGAAATCACAAGAAAAGCTTGAAAGTTTTCCACTGAAAAAATTAACAGTGGAAATTATTTATTTTATTTATTTATTTATTTATTTTTAAAAAGTTTCCATCCCACCAACTCCCAAAGGTATCTATGTTCAAAAACATGCCATTTGTTTGAGCAGAACAAACAGGCAATATATATATATATGAGTGGATCATTCCTCCTCTAATAAGTTACCAGCTACAGAAGCACTGTCACCTGTTCCTAATTAATATAAATAAATTCAAAAAACCCTTTTCATTGATAAAGTGAGAGAAGGAATGCTTACTATGAGATCTGACTGGATGTGCAGATAACATCCCACATTCACTCTTAGATCTAATTGGCTTTAATTATAGATTTGTTGCCTCTATTTTTTGTTTGGGTGCAGTCAAATTAGTAAGAATCTAGACTATTAGATGCAGGAACACTATCTTTTGAAGACACCAGGAGACTTGGTCCCAGTCAGAGGAAGGAATATGGCTCAGAGGCAAAGCGCATGCTTTTCTTGCAGAAAGCCATGGCCAGTCATTGTGGACAACATTGAGTTAGATAGACCAATGGGCTGTTGTGGCATAAGGCATCTCCCTACGTTCCCAGAAAAATGACTCACCGGCTACACTTTGTTTACAAACTCTCTCAATAAATTTAGCTGAATTGATCTAGCAGTACTGTGTGTAGGTGGGTTAATTGCCATTTTCCTTCACACCCACCAGTGCTGGTAACACCCTTATAATTTGTACACTTGGCATTTTGCATTGTGTGGACTATTGCTTTTGTTATTCAATTATTAACATATCTGTAGTGTACTTATTACATATTCATTTTGTTTCCTGCATGTGTTTTTGAATGCTGGGTGCATTTTGGTTCCTGCTGTTTATGGGCAACTCCTCTTCAGCTCTTTTTTTTCCTTCAGAAAAGCAGACACCAGGCAGGGTCTCTAAGCTTACACTTCTCCCACAGGTGTTTCCAAATGGAATGGCCCTGCTCTTTCCCACCCCCAGCATCAAGAAGAAATTCTTATCAGGCGGAAAGAACTGAACTTGCACAGAAGCAAGTCCTGTCTTTATGATGGGGCGCATATCACTACTGGAAATAGGTGTCATCTCCTCAGATGAGATGGGCCAATTTAGAGCTAAGTCCTCAGCAAGGTTAAGGGAAGGGTTTGTTAAACAACAGCAGCAGCAGCAGCATAAAGCAAGGATTATAAACACTAAGGGAAAATCTGCATGATCACAGGATTAACCTTTCCAATGTGAAGGAGGGGGATTTCAGCAAAGTAACTCAAGAGTGGGAGAATCCACAGTCCTTCCTGCCTAGGCCAAATCAATAAGCAAAGTGTGATGAACTCAGCTGTTTACAGGAGCATGTTGACTTTCCACAAACACCAGCAAACAGGCTGCTTGCAATGCTTTTTTGGGGAGACCTCAGGAAAAATGGAGGTCAATGTGGGTCAAATTCACAACATTTAACTTGCAAAACTTGTAACCCTGTGCTAAGCCACCTCCAGGGTTTTGCTTCACATATACCTAATTGCAAAAGCCAAGTTGCTCATTCAGAACAATTTTAGTCACATACATGAGCACCATCCCCTAGTTGGGGTAAAGAAATCCAAAGCTGTACACACATACACAAGTATTGTTGCCGTAACATGCATTCCTACTCAGAAAGGAGTTTAATAGCAGTTACTTCCTCTATTTATAGTTTAGCCTACATGTAAATGTTTTCATGATACATGTATTATGGAAGAAAGTCTTTCGGAGATGTTAGCAGTGCAAAGAAGCTTATGTAGCTCACCAACACGGAATGGAGCCTGTTCATTTCCTGTGCTTGCTCCAGGAGTTGGTCCTTCAGACTTTCTGTCTACCAACGCAGAAAGGTAGCTTTAAATACATATCACTTCCACGTTGGAAGGAAAACAGAGATGTACTTGACAGTTAAGTTTCTTAAATTTATAAGACTGACCATCAATAAAACTATACAGGTGGCTTATTTAAAATAATAGAACAATTAAGAATAAATACAGAATTTTTCCATAGCAGAAACAGTACAAAACAGTTTGCAGGTTAGCTTTAAACCACACTAAAAGAGAGAGGGAGGGAAAGGCTTATTTAAAACCACACTGAAAAAGTGAATGCTAAGGGTCTTTTTTGAAACACAAGTTCATAAGCCATTTTCAGTGGTGATTCTCCAATTGTGGAATGCTTTCCCCAGAGAAACCCTCCTGCAGCCAACACTGTCAGCTCACTGGGTGGAAACATTACTTTTCACTGTTTAAGGATCTTAATTTAATCGTGATGTGGAAAGATTCTGGTCTGTTTTGGTGTTTACCTTTTAGTGGGGTAGGGTAAGATTAAGCCTTTTTATTATTGTTCTAAAACTGCAAGTATCCAAATTTGTGGATGGCATGAACTTATTCAGGATGGTAAAATACTGAGCAGATTGTGAAGTGCTCTTAAAGGTCCATTCTAAAGTTTCTTACTAGGGAATTCAAAAAAGTACTACACACAGGTATTGCTTTTGCAGAAAAAACTATCACAAGCACACAGCATGGTCTCTCCATGTATTTTTTTTTTGGGGGGGGGTCCTATAATGACACAATTACTTTACTGAGACAAATCCTGGGATGGGATGACTAATCTAGGATGCCATCCAGGATGAGGCAAGGATTCCACAAGATGCTCCCAGAAAAATATCTAGCAGAGATGCATGTTGTCCTGCTACAAGGAGCCTGAATGACAACATACCTGGTTCTGCAGCTGTACAGTCTGACTGAGTTGGCTGCTCTCTTGTGCAGAAAGCTTTTCCTGCAGCAGCAACAACTCTTGCTGCAGCTGCAACTTTTCCTCTTGCAGCTGGGCCAAAGAGTCCACCAACTTCTGTACCATGGGAAGCTGACGTGCCCCCGGCAAGCTGGGCCGTTTCCCACTGAAGAATCTTCCCTCTGCAACAAAGCAGGAAATTATTATCAAGCAGAGCAGGTGCCAGGCAGGGATGAGATGAAGGGAAGATTAGCATGTGATGAAGCGGAGTGCTACACCATGAAGGGCCGTGAACAGTACAAACTGCAAAGCAAGATCTTCTGATGCAAGATGAAATGCACCTGCCAAGCATTACTGCAGGAAGGATTGTTGGTGGGTGTGCGTAGGCCACGGGCTATTTCTCCCACCAAAACTCTGGGCAGAGCCATCAGCCAACAAAGCCCAACATTAGCATGTTGACCAAAGAAAGGAATGCTGTGATGCTGCTGAAGTCAAAGAAAAATTAAATCTGCTTTGCCCCTAGTAGTCACCTAAAGTTGTGCGACCCTATGCGTGTCTACTCAAAAGTAAGCCCTACTAATTGCAATGGAGATTACTCCCAGATAAGCACAGTTAGTAGGACTGTTGTCAAAGTCTGCATAACCGCTCATGTATGGTCGTACCTTGGAAGTCAAACAGAATCCGTTCCGGAAGTCCGTTTGACTTCCAAAACATTTGAAACCCCGTTGGACGTTCGGGTCCCAAAAGAACATTTGCAAACTGGAACAATCACTTCCAGGTTTGCGGTGTTCGGGAGCCAAAACGTGCGATTTCCAGGGCGTTTAGGATCCAAGGTACGACTGTACTTCAAATGAACTGTTACAAAATTCAGACTTCACAACATTTTCCACATGCCCTAGGGGACATATGTTTTTCTCTCTCCCCACCCTCCGCAAAATAGCTTTTTCCCTTTTACTGAATATCTAGCTCTGCAGAATGTAAAAATATGATTACTGCTTTGTGACTTTTTAGTGGGGACATAATGAAAATTGTTACCTTAATGTTTTGATTTTAGAATTATTTTAATGGACAGGCACAGCTACTGTACCTTCCCATCTTTATCTAACAAAAATGAGTATGTCTGAGTGAAACCTGGGTTGTTTCGTATTTTAAGAAAGCATTATTCATTCGCACACGGAAATAATGGCCTCCGATCTTACAAAAAAGCACAGAGAAACAGCTTTCCAAGCACAGCGACGTAAGTACGCATCTCGGGGAGATAGCATAGTAAGACAGAAAAGACAGAGATGCCACATCACCACTTCTTGCTGCCCAAAACTCCCTGAAGAAGTTTGGCAAGTGGGATGCACACAATGACCACACAAGCATGGAGAAGAGATAAATACCACACTGCCTCTGTGCCCCAGGTGGAGGAGCTCTTCACTCACAGCAGTCTGAATTCCTGTCACCATAAGCAAGAAAGAAGAACACACAGAAGACAGAACCTATGATTCTGCAAAGTCGAAAATACCCAAGTTGTTCTGTGGGCAACTAAAAATAAATACTATCTCCCTCCCTCCACCCAACAGCTGGTTGGTTTGTGAAAGGAGCAGAGAATGGAGAGCAAAAAGGGGTCACTACATATGAGAAATAAACAGCTAATGACAGATGAAGAAATATCTATCTAAGAAATAGTTATATATGATCAACAACTTTAGGATAGCATCACTACACCACATATTATTGGCATCAGCTGTTCAAAAGAAGTTGGCATTGCAGGGTTCCCTTAAAGTCTCTGCTGCTAGTGCTAGGTACTACTCGTGTCTGGACCAGGCACATAGCTCTGGAAAGAGCTCCCAGACCCCACTGCCAGATAGCCAGGCTGCTCCAGAGGTTCAGCAGCTCCAGAGGGAGCCGTTTTGTCAGAGGGCAAAAAGCAGCAATGCTGAGCAGCTGGCCTTGCCTTGCAGCTGGGGCAGGGAGAATTCCTTAGATTACCTTACATAACTTCCTCCATTACTTCTGCAGCCATAGCACACTCAAGATTGGAGACAAAAGATCTGGGTCAGCCTCCTAACAATAGAGGCAATGGCCAAAAGAGGAAAGCATCAAATCTGCCCTTGACTGTTTGAAATGAGGTACACATAGTACTCTTTCAGAGGAGGGATTTATCTTAATGCCCTCTTCTAAACTGGGGTTTGTGTGTGAATGCACATTATAGCCAGGGTCATTCCTTTGCTTCCAAGGAGAGCTCCTGAGCTGTTAACAGCTGTATGACAAATAGACATAGATGAAGTTTTTTACACTTCTGAATCTTTATGCTAGGGAAAGTTGTTTAATTTTTGTTAATTTAACATTTGTCTCAATACAGCCAACCAAAATGCCATTCAATCCCAATGCACATCATACTCTCAAAGAACAAACTTGGATGGTCAAGTGCTAATTGCTTTACAGGTAAAACTGGGCCACCAGAAAATAAAAAGTATGCAATCACCCAACTTTAAAAGACTTTAAACAACAGCAATCAGCCCTGGGAGCTTCAGAATATTGAAGGAATAAAGGTAAAGGTAAAGGTAAAGGTACCCCTGCCTGTACGGGTCAGTCTTGACAGACTCTAGGGTTGTGCGCCCATCTCACTCAAGAGGCCGAGGGCCAGCGCTGTCCGGAGACACTTCCGGGTCACGTGGCCAGCGTGACATCGCTGCTCTGGTGAGCCAGAGCCGCACACGGAAACGCCGTTTACCTTCCCGCTAGTAAGCGGTCCCTATTTATCTACTTGCACCCGGGAGTGCTTTCGAACTGCTAGGTTGGCAGGCGCTGGGACCGAGCAATGGGAGCGCACCCCGCCGCGGGGATTCAAACCGCCGACCTTTCGATCGGCAAGCCCTAGGCGCTGAGGCTTTTACCCACAGCGCCACCCACGTCCCGTCATTGAAGGAATAAAGACAAGGAAAAAATAATAAAGCAACAAAAGTTAATGCCTGGAAGAGGAACTTCTGGCTTTGCACTGTACACCAAACAAACGCTAAGGATACACTGCAACATTTTGGTGCAGCTCATACTCATATTTATTTCTGACATTCTGCCCCGACTTTCTATATAAAATATAGTCTAGGTGGTTACATATACACATAGTTCATATAAAAACATCCTGAAAGTGATCATGTTGTTGTTTGGTAAAAGAAACAGAAGTGGAACATTCAGGTGAATCAATATTGAACTGTTATGGAGGGTTGGAATTACAAAATTTTAATTATTTATTGACTGATTTAAGGTAATCACAGGACCATGGCTTGAATATTAATTGATAAGGCATTTAGTGTGTGCCTTCTGTCAGTACAGATATATTTTTACATGCTTATAGAACAGAAAATAGATAGACAAGGGCAAGACCTTCATCTCTGCAATGCATGCACTAGCAGGTGCTTGCTTCATTAACAGCCATCACATCCAGTCTGAAATAGCCAAGGAATACCCCTGTGTGAAACCTGGAGCATGACTACCAGTAAGTCCAGACAGTATGGAGTCAGGTGGATCTATGGGTCTGATTCAGTATACTGTAGGATTATATATCACCCTGAGAGATGTGAAAGGTGATTAAAAACAGCAACAATAGCAACGCTGCAGTTTCTGACAGGTAGTCAAATAATATCAAGATAAAATCACACCAATTAAAAACCAGTCAAAATAGTAACAGCAGATTATAATTACCCTGTGCTGCTTTCCCTGCACATGTCTCAAGCAGGTGACATACCACCCATCACTTCATGATTTCCCATAGGCTGTGCTAAGCCTAGAAGAGACACCTGAGAAAAACCTGGGAACTAATACCTGGGAGGAAACAGATGCATGTCTTACCAACCCTGACCTGGATGTAAAGTCCATTTCAGACCTCCAAGGATAAAAAGGAAAGGCCTCTAACTTGGCCAACATTCAGAGCTGTCAACTGGTGTGCCAGCCTTTTTTAGAAGGGTCATCTCATAGTCATCATTCCACATCACCTAATTGTATGTCCTGCACCCAATATAAGTTAATAACTCCTTGCAAATGTTACACTTGTGTGGTTCTATTAAAAGGAAAAGGATGAGTACTCCAGTCCCACTACAAACAACAAGCAGCAGGTGTAGCTGGCTTGTTAAAACATTCTTTTCCCCCCTACAATACTTTTAAGCCAATGTTGGCAGAAGGATAAACTATTTCAATATGTCCAGCTGCTCATCCAACACTCTTTCTGATGCTCATACACCATTTATTCTACCTTTTTATTTCTACTCTGCCTTTCCCCTGTCAACCACCCTACAGGCTACAGTAAGAGAGAAAGCGGCTAGCCCAAAGTCAAGAAGCAAGCTGCTTACATAATAGGTGGAGACTTGAATGGAGGCTTCCCATGCCCACATCTGGCATTCTAACTACTATCCTGTTTGATAAGGAAACAGACAAGCAACCCCCACCAATCTGGTCTCAGTCAAAGGACCTTCTGAAGATGCCACCCAGTTCCACTTTATAAGCTTCTGTGCAGAACTCATTTTCTGCTTACTTATTCTTTCCCCCTCCACCGCGTGCCCCTCACTCACTCTTTTCTGTCTGCAGTGCTCTTCGCCCCTCCTGGTCATAGCCGTGTTGCCATCTTGCTTTAATGCTCTCTCTTCCGTGCAAACTCTCTCCTCACACTCCTTCACTGAAGCACTTTGTTGTGAGGCCTCACAAAGGGGAGAAATGGGACTCGCTGCAACTTCCAAATCAGCACAAAACAGGGAGTACCTCCTCACTCTGATATGTCTGGGCAAGCTCAGGCAATTAAGGCTCAGAAGACCAGAGAAAGGGAAGCCAGAAGAGCTGAACTGTAACTCTCTCCTGGCATCAATTCTTCCTTTTGGAGGGAGGTCAATAACAAGGGGTACTTAGGGTGCAGTAAGACACAACATGTGGGGAAAATGTGCCATTGGAAAACTGACAATGTGCATATGTGTTTATTAGGCACTTATACAATAGGTAATGTCAGGAGCAGCATGTATACAAATTATATAAGGATGGAATGCATTCCGTTTCCATACTTAAAACAAAATTAGCCAAGCCATATTAAAACAACTTCTTTTTGGCCAGAACCACCTATTCTTCTTCACCTTCATCTTTGGGCAAACAACACTGCATTATATGCTTGTAAATCCCCTTAAAGTACTCCTGGTTTTGCATCTGTTAGTTACTACACTAAGGCAAATTCATAAATGAATAATCAATAATGACTCCTGTGGAGAAACCGCCACTAACACAGCACACATGAGAAAAGAATGCTTTGTGTTCATTTGGCTTTTCTTTTATGGTGTGGCATGTCTAACAGGGAATTTGTGCAGCTGGAAAATCTACTTTAAAAAAGTCCTTGGTCAGTAAACCACAAACTCAGCATTGAAAGAAAACTGAGGAGCAAAAATAGGAGTGAAATAGGTGGAGGAAGCCCACACACCACAGTATCCCATAGTTAAGCCAGTGATCATGGTTTGTTTCCTCTCAGTGTACGCTGAGAGGAGTGATTTGCTTATGCACAGCAAACCATGGCTTATGGCTTTACACGGTGTGTGAACAAGGTCAATGGCTCAACCTGAAAGAAGGGACTCAAAGTCTGCACACATACACCATCTTGAATCCCTCCAGCAAAGGGACGCAGTTTCAAACTAGCTTTTGCTAGAGCACTGCTGACATAGTTTGGAGTTCAAGTTTCCACTGCAAACTTCACATGGAATGTCCTTTGCCTTTTGCACATGGGCTTTTCCAAAGAATAAGCAGCTGCATATCAAGTGCACAGCATGGAACTTTCAACAGAATTCATAGGGCAATGATGGACTTCCTTTCAGATGAGAGGGCATGGGGAGAGAAAGCCAGTTGCTCTGTTGACACCCCCCCCAAAAAAATACTGTGGAAAATGTGGAAATTTCGGGTAGTTAAAAAGGTTTTTTAAAAGCAACAACATCAACTCTCATTCAAATAGTCTCTTTCTTATGATAAATAGTACTTTTTAAAGTAACATCTTAAAATAATATTATGGCCAGTTACACTACTGCAAAATACTTACTTCCAGAATTCAAAGACAGCACTGTTAGGGATTTTACCATTCCTACTGTCTTCATCTGGATTGTAACAACCTCTCGGCATTCTCATTTCTCACTTGCCTCCTAATCAACATACACCATCAAGGGACAATGAACATAAAACCAAAAGCTAAGGAGACAGGTAGGGAAGAGGGATGATCACCACACCCTATGTGAGGATTCACAGCAAAAGGAGGAACAGATTTTGCCAACTCGACACTAAACCCTTATTATGACAAATCCTGCAATAAGTCACTGGCTCAGCATTAATATCTATATGAAGACACCCCTGCTTTTATCCTATCCTATCAACCGGGATGTGTATGTTAATGATCAGAGAGGGGCAAACAGACAAAGACATTGCTATACTGTACAACTAATCCTACTTCAGCTGGACTGTCCCTTTCCATACAGACCCCTGCCTCCAAATAAACCCCATAGCAAGCCTCACAAGAGAGAACCAGGAGGAGGAGGAGGCAGACAGACACCATCACAGGTCTGCTCAGGTCCTGGCCCCGCTCAAAACTCCACCCACGTTGTCCTCCCCACCTATGTTCCAAGAAACTAAACAGTCTCCAATTTCCACATGTGGAAGGTGTGTTTGCTTCTTTTGGTTTCTGTGTTTTGCTTCCTCTTTAATTATTTTTAGCATTCTATTTCCAATATCCATATGGATCCATTTTTTTTCATTTTTTTAAAAGTCATATTTTATTAATGTTGCTTTGGGGACTCCAATCAAAAAGTGATTACAAATTAAATACATTTACATTTTAAATACCTACTTAACTAACCCATTGGGTTCCAATCTGTCTCCCTCTTTGGGGTTTAGGGTAGCACACATGGCAGCAATCCTGTTTTTATTCTGCCAGGGAGCTTAAATGGAAAATTCCTGACTTGCCCCAAGGTGCCAAGTATGCTTCCTGGCCAAACAGATCAGCCCCCAGGCCTCCCCAGTCCAAATCCAACACTCCAGTCAATACGCCTCATCGGCTCCCAGACTGTCTTTCCCAAATAACCAAGACGGGCGCAGGTTTTGTGCATCTGCTGTACCTGAGTTATCCATGTTGACGTCAGCTTCCTGCTCCAGGATGTCGCAGCAGCTGTCAACAGCTGCCAGCCTCTGTCTTGTGCCCAGCTTGGCGATGGAGCCAACGCTTCCCTCAGTCTTCACCTGGCAACTGGCCTTTCACACCTTGGCTTGTAGAGCCTGCTGGGAAGATAGAAACCCTTGTATGGGAGGCATGCTAATAATACCAACAGCACTAAGACACTCCCAACCCAATACGGAACTATTTGCAAATAATTCATGATTCAAGTGCCTGGGGAATTGCCATCAATTAAAGTTGTTGATGATATCTTACGTCTTCTCTGCCTGACAAATATGACAATGGTTGCTGGTTTTTTTCTATATTATATCCACAGTAAGAAAAAATACTATATTAGCATAGTTATTATGCCACTATAGTTGACAGCCCTTGCTTAGGTCTGGAGTGTTATTTGTTTAATGGGGGGGAGGGGATTAAGGCTTGCCCCAAGCTAAATTATTTCTATAGAAATTAATGGAAATCCATGTTGGTTATCAATTGTTTTTAATGGGTCTACTCAGAGTAGAACACTAGCTACAACGTCAATAAGTGTGAACTATTTTCCCAACTTGCCATTTGTCAGCACCGAAAAAAACACTTTGGCACATCCAATTCTGCCACATGCACATTGTGAAATGAACTCCCATCCCTTGAAGTCTAAAACTTTCCAGGGAGGTGCCTTCTTATTAACAAGAGCAACCCACATTTATCTGCATAGCTACAACTTCCTCTGCGAGGTTTTTTGTGCCAAGAAGAAGAAGAGTTTGGATTTGATATCCCGCTTTATCACTACCCGAAGGAGTCTCAAAGCAGCTAACATTCTCCTTTCCCTTCCTCCCCTACAACAACCACTCTGTGAGGTGACTGGGGCTGAGAGACTTCAAAGAAGTGTGACTAGCCGAAGGTCACCCAGCAGCTGCATGTGGAGGAGCGGAGACACAAATCCGGTTCACCAGATTACAAGACAACTGCTCTTAACCACTACACCACACACACAGAAGACACATGGGCAGCATTGTACTTTGAGATTGGCTGTCTTGGTTGACAGAAGCAGCCGCTGAAGCTGGGCAAAAGGACATGATGGGCACTGAGGAAAGCACTGCCCGGGCGAATTGTCTTTTACTTTGCCCTCTACAATCTGGAAACCCATCAAACAAGCAGATCAGTTGCTGAACACTTTAAAGATGGTCTATAAAGATGGAAAAACTCACTCTGATAAAGTCATATTGAACTTCTCACCGCTTTTAAAAACCACCACCACTATCCATTGGATTACGGGGAATCCAGATGTGTTGGTCCTATCACTCCCTTTGCTACCACAGCCCAGTGAAGGGGGTGTACAGGATAATTTTCTATGCACTGCATTAGAGTAATTTGATGGATGGATGGAAAATCAGCTTAACACCCTTGTAAGAAAATACCCAACTTCAGCTTCCACATTCTTCTTTTTATTCCCCCTCCCCTTGCACTTTTCCTACTGCAACTCTTGCTTCTTGCAACCTCTTCCCACAAACCAAAGGCCAAACTGCATGCAGCAATCTAGAGACACAGGCCCAGTTACCCAAAATGTTGTTTCTCTTCACAAGCACATTCCCTTGCCTGCCAGCCCCAATGCCAATGAAGTGAGCAGCTGAACACTGATACCAGATTGTGCCATTTCACCTGTCTTTTTTGAAGTAGAATGATTGTGACATTGACCATGAGGAGAAAATTCCTCCACTACATGAAGAGAAGTATGACTTCAGCCATTGTGTTCACTGCTGTCTGATCACTCTCACTGCCATCTGTTCCAGGATATTGCTACTGTCAGAAGTGAAGAGCACTCAAGTTCCTTCAGCTACTGTGGCAGTGCAATTCCTCTCCCACTGCTATCTACAGGCTACTACACTACAATAAAAACAAGTTCAAGAATCCACTTATATCACTTATTACATTCCCAATCTACCAATGATTGGTGGTGTGTGAGTATGTGTGTGCAGACTTTTCCCATGTGTTTTATAGTATCTTTCCTGAATGGACAGTGCATCACTCAGAATGGCACAGAAAAAAATTACAAGCAATGTTTCCACTGAATCCTTGGGAGAACGCTTTGGCTGGACTTCCTCTTAAACAATAATGTAAAGTATATGCTTGCTGTAAGCTCCATCAAGAGCTGGTGCGCACGATCCCGTAGAGGAAAAATAATACCCTGCTACATTTTTAAGACAAGGTAGTCTTGTTCTTCCATCTCTGACTTTGAAATCCTTCAAGGTCATCCTCACTTGCATGGTCAGGTTTCCATATCTACCTGCTCCACACACAGAAGATGGGCATACAGTAGCAGAATAGCAACCTCAGAAGATTCTTTGTTCAGAAGACAGCAAATCCTGCCTGTTGTTTCACACTAGATTTTTAAAAATAATATATATCTCAGAGGCACATCTGACTAAATCTCACCAAAGACAGTATAGTTAGTGTCAAAAAGCTACCTCCTTCCATGTTTTCTAGTATCTGAAGCTGGCATGCAAGCCCCTCCTCTTTCTGGCAATCTGCCAACATTTCTCTGAAGTTTGCAAATCCTGCGGCTCAAAATAGTCCAGGTCAGTGGAAGAATGGCAAGTTTCCCATTGAAACCCAAGACACAGGCATCTCTCATGAGCTGAAGAGAAGAAGAGATTCAACAAGTCTTTTGTCTCTCTACTGACCCAGCAAGGACACACCAGGCCCAGTTTCAAATGTAGGCACTAACTTTAGGAAACTCCACGGAATAAGTTCTCAGATTTCAAGACACAAGAGGATGCATGAATAATGCACGGAGAAGCACAATACAAATTTCTGTCACAGGAAAAAACAGTGTGTTGTAAATTTTCAGAAACCATTCTAAAGTTCACACGTATCCTTTCTATTATTTATACAACTTATATCTTGCTCTTTCTCCTCAAGAAGCCCCAGGCAGCAAACCTAAGAACAAAACAGAGTAGTACAGGCTTCCTCAAACTCGGCCCTCCAGATGTTTCGAGACTACAGTTCCCATCATCCCTGACCAATGGTCCTGCTAGCCAGGGATCATGGGAGTTGTAGGCCAAAAACAACTGGAGGGCAGAGTCTGAGGAAGCCTGGAGTAGTATAAAAGCATTTTAAAAACAGTTAAACATGTTTTTCTAAGAACATTTAGAAAACACAGTTTTACCAGTAATTTCAGGGTTGCATGGGGAAACAAGAATGCTTTTAACTTCTTCCTAAAAGTCAACAACACACCTCACCAGGGAGAGCATTCCACAAATGGGAAACCACCACTGAGAAGGCCCTGTCACAATATTTCACAATACTGTAAATTCACAATATATGTGGATGATACCACATGCACATGAATTCAGCTGCAAGGCCCTTGTTATAAGCTGAATGAAAATAAATCTTCTGGGGAATAATATTAGGAGTCAAATGTGCAACATAATGTCAGACATGATACAAGCACCACAGAAAAAAGAAAATAAATATCTAGTGATAAGACTGGGAGATTTATACAAGTGAAAGTACTTGCTTGTGAATAAAAAATAGAAGCTAATAAAATATGAAAGAATATTTAAATGTCATGGAAAGCAAGAATAGCAGCAGTGAAGATACTGCTCATTCTTAGCATTGGGTTGTATCCAATATAAGTTCCACTCAGAACAGAGCAATTAAAATTAATGACTATCTTAGGTCAATTTCAATTGGATTCCTCTGAGTATTATTTTTGTTTGGTTGGTTTATTATTATTATTATTATTATTATTATTATTATTATTATTAATTGTATGCTGCCCTGCACCCAAAGATTTCATGGCAGTTCATAGATTAAATGTTTTAAGATGAGAAAAGGTGATTAAAAAAATCCACAGACAGCAGTAAGACAGCAAGAGTATTTTATAATACTTCACCAGGCGGAAGAACAAATTCCAAGTCATTTATTCTATCATTTATCATCTCAACTGGTGTCATTGTAATAAGATGCACTGTAATAAAAGATTTCCAAGAACTTTCTAATTAACTTAATAGCTGTAAGAATCAAAGTGACTAGCATATGAAAGAACATACATTGCTGAATGGTTAAATGAAATATGGAAAATGTTGCTTGTTGTGAAATTGACATATCTGGTGAAATATAATGAAAGGGTAGAAGGAATATATAAAATAAGAAGTTATAAAATGAACTGGAACTTGCCTTTTCAAACACAAATTTTAACCCAAATGTCTACCTCACTTTCTGAGTTTTATAGTAGGATTGAGGAACCTTGGGTTCACGTCCTATGTGAAGTCATGTAGAAATGCAGCTGGATTGACTACATGGGGAACTTGATAGTGCAGGTAATCCCTACAAAAAGGAAGGATTGACTACACAACCTATGAGCTGATAGGTGGTGAGTTCAAGTTTACTGGATTGGCTACACAACCTAGTTCCCTGTGAGAAACTTGGATCACGCAGCCAGTGGCGTAGTGTGGGGGGTGCAGGGGGGGCCGGCCGCACTGGGCGCAACATCTGGGGTTAGGGCAAATCCACAGGTTAGGGGGCGCAAATCCACGGGTTAGGGGGCACAAATCCACGGGTTAGGGGGCGCAAATTACTTGCCTTGCCCCGGGTGCTGACAACCCACGCTACACCACTGCACACAGCTAATCCCTGCAAAAAGCAGGACTGAATATTAAGCCTGCAGGATTGGCTGTGCAACCTAGTTTCCAATAAGGAACTCAATTGCCCAGCAGATACCTGCAGAAAGGAGCTTTACTAACACTAGGCTTGGGGCTTGTAAATCAGAGAGCATAGGGCTCTGTAGTTTGCGTTTGGACCACCTAACACCAGCTAATAAACAAGAAGGTGCACTGCAGATCAAAGTCTATAGGCTATCTGCAACACAGTCCCACAGAAAATGCACCACAAAAATCTAATCTGGAGGTCACTGAGGCATGCATGACAGCGAAGAGCACTATGACCATAAACTATACATAAAACCAGCCTGTGTCTTTGTCTCTCCTGATCCTCTGCTTAATTCAGCACCTGGTTTGCCACACCCACCCAAGCTTTAACAGCTGTCCTGACTCCATGCCCTATCTATCTCAACTACTAAGGCTGTAAGAGTAGCTGCTTCTATGAGGCTCACTGAAAG